AGGTTTTCTGCCAAAATAAAATCTTGATGGTTTAACATTTGAATGAAGAAATTAAAGACATCCATAAATAATACGAGTACTGTAATTTTACAGTTGTACTATACATTATTATTATATTTTTCTGAAGTATTGAAACTTTTTCTTAGTGACTTATAACAATAGTAATATTTCTTATTTTGTTTAATATTTTTATTTAGTAAATAATAATAATAACAATAAATTATAGGCCAAAAATGTGCAGCCCTGTGGACAATACAAATGAAACTCATTTGAAACTGCAAATCCAAATTTTTAAATCATAAAAAAAATATTTGCAATGATATTTTTCCCCAAATCGTGCATCCGTATGTTGTTTAAAAATAAAGTATAAGCAATAGTAAGGACTACTGACTTTTAAGCACCTCTGGATTGCATTTGCCAATGATATTAACATGCATGTGGTTTTAATATAATGCAGTCTCTGACCTGCAGAGGGCCTCTTGTAGCTTGCTCTCTATCTGATCCTGAAGTAGAACATTCAGCTCTTTCACCTCTGCTGCCATGGCGCTCTTAGCAGTGGACATCTCTCTGTCGTATTGAGCCTGGAGTTTCTGCTTCAACGCCACCACCTGAGGGCTCTCTTCACACTCCAAACTCCTTTGCAGGGCTTGAAGCTTCTCCTTTTCCACATCAAGGAGCTTTTGGACCTCTAGAAGCCTCTGCTCCAACGCCCCTTTCTCTTTAAGGGCAGATCTCTGAAGCTCCTCTCTCTGGGATGCCAAGCGCTCCTCAGCCAGAATTTGGAGTTGCTCCCTCAGCCGGGCATGCTCTTTAGTGAACTCCTCACTCACACGATTCCTCTCTGCCTTCTGCACTTCTTCAAGGCGCACCCTCATCTCTTCAGTAGCATCTTTCTGATGCTTTAAAAGGAAAAGAACAGTGCTCAATAAATAAATAGATACCATTGATACTGATAATGTTACAGTATTGCTAAAGGGTCTCCAGAATAATCAGCATAAAAGTTTCAGCTGTCTACAGCATGACCACTATTTCTACGCCTTATGACAGTGCTTGGTACCAGCCTTTGGAAACAATCTTCACCAAAGCCCTTTTGTATCAAGTATAAAGGCCTGCTGTTATGCACACACTTACGGTCTCCTCCATCTGTCTGAGCTGCTCTCGGTGTTGCGCCGCCACTTTTTCCAGTTCCTCTGAGTGCATTAGGGAGAGCTGAGATAGCTGGGTCTCCAGCTGGGTCACCCTGGCCTGGTGCTCATGAGTCCTCTCCTTCACCTCAGCCTCCACCTGCCTCGCTACTTCCTGTGCAGACTGTAGCCGTATCTTGTTTATTTCTGATGAAAAAGAGAAAAATATTTAAAACAATGTTTTTTTATATAATACATTTTTTATATATTTAAGTTTGAGGATGTTTTTGAAGTTACCGATGCTGCATTTATTAATCAAACATACAGAAAACAAACAGTAATATTGTGAATGATTATAATTAACA